GCAACGAGGAACTACGGAAAACAACTCTCTCCTTTTGTCAACAGGAATTGAAAAAGGCAGTGCTTGAAGATTTGGTGCGTCTGGGCAAGGCCAGTGGCCTCCATTCTTTTGAACAGGTTGGTGGGCCGATATATGTTTGGGTCTGAGGCAAAAGCAGCAAATATTTGGTCTGCTTTTTGCTGTAGCTGTATTTTTCTTAATATTTTTAGAGAACATGTAAAACTAGAATGGCAGTTGGAGAGCGCAGACCTATCCGACAACCTATCTGGTGGTGTTAATGAAAGTGAAAAAAAAATTGTGTGCCCTGTAATTTGGATCTGGTCCAAAATTTATGGATTCTTCCACTAGATTTCATGAAAATTTGGGCCTGTAATGTTTTTCCATAATCCTGCTGACAAATAAACAAACCGAACCAAGAACTGAACCTCCTTGGCGGTGGTAATAACCTTGGTCTCAAAGCTACAGCACAAATTGCTCCAGTTGAGCCTCTCGGTAAAATAATAATGAGTAGTGAATCATTTATATTGTATTTTTGGCAAATGGGCTCTCATTATATTAAAAATAAATCAAGGTAAAATCAGCCGAATAAAAGAGAGAGTTACATAGGTGCTTGTTTCCTTAGCAGAGAAATGCTAAGACTTGTGTCATCTGTAGTAACATCACAGTAATGTGTACCTTTTATTCTTTAAGTTATATCAGCTAAGAAGCTTGGTGGAGACTCTCAGGAACCTTGGTGTTCATCAACATCTTCTCCAATCTGTCCCATTTTCCTTTCAAAGGTGAAGAACATCTACATCCACAACGAGATGTTCTCTATTGTAAACGGCCTCCTGACTCCGACGCTAAAGGCTAAGAGACCGGAGCTGAGGGAGTTCTTCAAGGAGAAGATCGACCACCTATACAGCAGCATCTCCATGTGAAGGCCGGCAGACCTCATTTTCCTTCAAACATCTTTGATCTGCTTTGACCATTGACCTGCAGTGGGACAAAGTTGTGACACCTTAGACTTAACGTGCTTTGGGAAAGCAAGAAGCCAAACCTGTCCCTCCTGTGGAAGATTTAAAATGCCTGAATGAAAACAAATCAAAGAAATAAAGTGAAATACAATAACTACATACACCCGAAAGCATATGTTAAAAGAATTTCTGTTATCATTATTATTATCATGGTAGTGAATTTTTCATGCTGCATAAAAACAAATCAGTACATTGCAGTGTTGCTCAGCAGAGGGCAGTATAAACCTGCCGACACTTAAAACAAAGTGCTGTTACTAGTTGACATGAGGGGAGGTCCAACAGAGCTGTTTCTTTTTTGAAATGGAAACAGAATGTATATGACTAAATTGTATTTCACTTTGTTTCTTTGATTTGTTATCTTCTTATTTCATTTTAAATTTCCCAGACATTGCTACGTGCTACCCACCTATACAAACCATCAAACGCTCTGTCCCTCGCAGCAGAAAATCATCAGCACATTTATGTTGAGCAATCCACTCCTACTTCCCTTCTGTCCGCTTCTCCCCTCTTCTCCATCAGTTTAAACCCCCCACCAGCCAAACACAACCTAACTCCACAGTCGTACGACAGCAAGTGTGATGTCTTTGTGTGTAGTGTAGCTCAAGGAGATGTCTTGCTGATACCTTGTGGGAAAGTAATGGACTTCATCTTCAGTGGAAAACAGATTTTCCTTTCATCGAACAAGCTGCTGACAGCAGTGCCACCGAGCAGGGCCTGACAAAGATTATACTCTCAGACATTGTGCAATTTGACCAAAACCTCACCCTGATGTTAGAGGTCAGAATGAAGGTAGAGAGAGTAGCAGCTCCTGCCTTACAAATCATTGCTGTCTGCGATTCTCCATGTAGAGCATCTTGATGTCTTTAGCCACATGCAAATCACAGTTCATGTCATGTATCCACACATTCAGTAAGTCACCTCTACATGGACGCGATCGGCAGTTTAGCATGCATGCTCCTTGTTTACGTGAAGGACTGGCCCACTGTAACAACCATCAATGTTCACGCTCTACAGTCAGTTCTATCACAGCTTTCTCTACATCCATCCTTGCACAAATAGTATGTCAGGTAAAAGACTTCAAAAAAAAAAAAAAGAGATGATGCAAAACCAGGGCTCAGGGCAATGCATGCAGTTTGCCCTGCAATGCTGGCACCGTTAGCATTTGACTTGAAAACGATGAGTATTTCTTTGTGGCCATTACTAGCAGGTTGTATGCAGCTGCCACTGCTGCTAGTGCAAGGCTTTGTAATGTAGGCAGAGCTGATCAGTTCCACTCACTGGAGGAAAATAGGACCACCATTGACTTTTAAACAAGATAATACTTTTTATTTGGAGGGTTTACTCATAGAAGTAATGTATAGGCTTTTTAAGTTGATTACCGTCCCAAAGCATAAACAATGTGGATGTACATAAATGAGGACAGCTAGATGTAAGCATATTTATTAAATCAATGGTTTGAATGGATTTTTTTTCTCTCTTTTTGCGTGTAGTGAGATGAATTGTACTTATTTATTTATCTATTCTGCTGTAAAATGGAATCAGCACCATATCCTTGTAATGATTGAGTGCAGCAATAGGGATGAGGGTGGTTGGGGAATAGGACAAGGGTGATGAAATAAAAGATATTCTGGAATGATTTTAAAATAGTGTCTTGTTTCTGTTTTCTTTCATGGTGTTTTCAATACTGCTATTTGCATACAGGTTTTATTTTGAAAGGTTTTCCTGAAAATACAGGCTACTGTTTAGAGGCTGGCACTAATTTGACTCCATTACAAGTCAAAGTACTGCATTTAATGTCATCTCTGAGTATAAGTATGAAAGTATTATCAGCTAACTGTACTTGAAATATCAGAAGTAAAAGCACTCTATAATAAAATGACATACATATTCTTGCATTTTAAATCATTAGATTGTTAATACTGGTGCATAAGTAGCATTACAGGTGGGTACACTTAGGGTGTTTAGTCCAGTGGTTCCTAACATGGGGATTAAAGGCTCACAAAATAAATCTGACTGAAATGAGAGAGGACAAAAGAAGACAGTTTTTGTTTTTATATACTGTAACATTCTCTAATCTTTGCTCTTTTGTGAAATGTTTTTAACTCTTATGCTTCAAAACAACCATGCTACATAAAAGAAACCATTTGAGAAGTTTAGAGAGAGAAATAAGTCTTACAAGGAACTTCAAACGACAAGAAGCTTTTTGGTATTGGGCCACCTAGTAAAAAGATTGGGAACAACTCGTGTAACCATACCATATCATACCAATTTATTTATATAGCATATTTAAAACAACAGAGCTGAGACCAAAGTGCTTTACAAGTAAAAGAAAAAAACAGGTAACAACGCACAATCACAACTCATAAATAAGAAACATACACAGCGTCACATGAAGAACACCAATCACTCAGGCTGTGTTTGAAAAAGCCAAAGAATAAAAATGTGTCTTGAGGCATGATTTAAACACCTGCAGAGTGGGGGCTTGCCTAACATGCAGAGGCAGCTCGTTCCAAGTATTGGAGCTGCCACTGCGAAAGCTCAATTTCCCCTGAGCTTCAGCCTGGATTTAGGGACAGCTAGGAGAAGCTGATCGGAGGACCTGAGGGACCTTAGAGGGACATAGGGTTCCAGCAGGTCGAAGTGGTAGATGGGTGCCAAGCCGTTAAGGCACCTGAAGGCAAACAGCAGAATTTTGAAATCAATCCTATAGCGCACAAGCAGTGTAAGCTATGTATTGTAATTTATTATATGTTTTTATGTGAAGGGTTATTTTGAAAAACAGCTCAAGCTGTCAAATACATGCAGTGGAGTAAAATATGCAATATTTCCTTCTGGAGTAGAAATATGAAGAAACATAAAATGGAAATACTCAAGTAAAAGACAGGGACTGGTTTTAACAGCACCACTTTCACCAAGACCGGATGACCTATGACCCCTTTCTTCCTGACCTTGCATGTGAAATTTCATTGCTGCGTAGGTAGGTTTTACAGCCAAATTACTGATTTTCAAGCAGGAAAGTAAACTAAGTTTAGTATACTTTCTGGACCCAATCTATATTTTGATCAGTACTGATACTGTTGAAATTAGAATTATGTATATTAGATTAGAGAGCAGTCTCTTAGTTAAAATATGAGGCATTTCATCTTTGATCATTTCAAACCACCATGCTGCTACAGCTAGCTAAACACTGGCTGACAGGGCAGGGATGGTTGTGACTCATTTTATTAAAGTGTTACAATGACAACTAAAAACATTTTCTCCATTTATCTTACTCCTCTTCTCAGCATGCCACAGTAGGTGGTGGAAAAATAACCCGATAGGGGTGTGCTTGAGGCAGGGAAAGACAGTAAGGTCTGTCCCCAAATAATACTCTATCTGCTGTGTGGCATTGAGAAGATGCTGCAAAAAATGAATAGAAATAAATAAATAAATACAAAACATCAACGACAGATGATCAGTTGCAGCTGCCCTGTGTTCACAGCAGTCATAAAGTTTTCAGTCTGTTTGTATTTTATAGGCTATTTATGTGTATTTTTTGTAACTGTGTAATTTTTAATTCTTCACTCTTATTGTTACAGCTTACCTCAGTAATGGGGTAAGCTGTAACAATGAAACTCCTTGTATTTGACATAAATTAATGACTTATATGATATAGTTGGATAAGTTTTAAAAGCTGCTATTTGTACTCGACAAATACTGTTACTTTGGGCCAAAATTTGAGAGCCCTAACGTAAATATTCAGCAAGTTGGTGCTGAGATAGAAAGTATTACAGCCATCTGGGTCTCAAACTGTACTTCAATAGACCTACTTGAGTAAATGTATAGGTACTTTCTTATATATCTTGTTATTAATACAACTATTTCCACTTCTGATATGCGTCAACTGTTGTCACTTAAACTTCCGTTAAAGACTTTCAAAATAAAAAATGTATCGACAACAGTGGGTGTTGTGTTTTACGCAGATTGGAATCGTCATCGGTTGATTGACTCCACAGGTGTGCTCGTTGCTAGGCAACACACGGAGAGCTGAGTGGAAAAGTTTCAGTGTCTTTAGCATCCACCGCCGCTCCTTTAGTCTTTACAATATAACATTAGGCCCTGTACATTTAGGATAAAGTGTTAGCAACAGTTCCTCTAGTGTAACACAGGATAGCGTCTGTTTCGTACCGCATTTTGGACATTAATTTCATTCCGCAATGCGTCCACACAAGAACCGAGTAAGAGTCAGTCGTCACATTGGATTACCTAACAAGAGAGATACACCCGTGAGACCAGCACTGAGCACCAGAGAAAGTAAGGGAAAAACACTGTAGCTATAAATGGCACTGACAATGATATTTTCTCTATAAAAAATATTTTCCCACGGTATATTGGCGAACTATTAGGCCTATGTTACTAGCCACCTGACCAGTTTAGTTTCCAGCTGCTGTCCTTTGCTCAATTAGTAAGGTATTTCATTATGAATTAATTAGGCTATGGGCTGAACATCATTTTGTTTGTCAGCATTAATTTATGTTTCTCATTTTAGTGTTTGACTAGCCTTCTTAAATATGTTTATATTGTATCAATGCATTAGGAGAAATTTATATGTAGCCTACTAGTCATTGTAGGTAAATTAATTAGCCTTGCTGCATCTACCTACTATCATCTACAATCTTTACCTTTAAAAAACATTAAGTGCAAAGTTGTTATAGTTTAGTATTTTTCATTACTTTTTATTTTGGTTTTAATTTTTGTTTTCAGTTCAGTTTAGTTAGCCTAGTTAGTAGAGTGGGTCTGCTCATTTAATTTTAGTTTTTACAATTTGTTTTAGTTTAGTTTTTTTTTGTTTTAGTATTAAATTAAGTTTTTTTTTTAAAGTTTATAATATAGGTGGTATTTGTCAAGGACAAAATTGAGTAAGTTTCAGATGGGTATTACCATACAAACAAAACACAGTCATGTAGATATCTCAGCCAATCTCAGTAAACATGCAAGTTTGCCTCCTTGTGCCAATTTGAACAAATAAAGACTAAAACTAAATCTATTTTCTGTATTATTATTTTATTGTAGTTCGCTTTTTAAGTACACTATTGTTTCAGTTGGTTTGCTTTTTTTTCTTGAGTGTAGTTTTTATTTTTATTTAACTTTTTTTTATTTCACACATAGTTTTAGTTTTAGTTTGATTTTATTTAACTATGTTAACCTTGTTTTAGAGTTCAGGAGAGTTCTTCCCAGCAGGCATTATGAAGCATTTCCAGAGGAACCTGAGGTGAAGGAGATGAATGTCCCCACTGTCAAACTAACCAACCCAATGTTGGTGAGTATCTATCTACCTATCTAAACTATGTTCTCTACATGGGAAGGATAAAGGGTGTAGTATGAGGTAGGGGACCTGGTTTGTTTGCTTTAAACAACCCTCTCAGTTCACACAGTTCATCTCATATTTCTGAAAATCTACAATTTTCATTTCAGCTTCTTTCAAGGTTTCTCAAACTTTTTTACTCTCTCCTCATTTTCAATTCTTATCTTTCACGCACAGACAAGCACTAAGCCTGTCCACTGCAACTCTGTGTTACACTTGAGCGGCCCTGCATTGACTGAAAACCCCAGAGACAAAGCCGTGTTGCCTGCCGCGCCAGCTAATAAAAAATCTGGCCACCGAGTGTCACCAGCAGGTCCCCCGACTCCTGAGGAGCCAGAGGCTTTTAAAGGTGGTGAAATGCCAGGTAAAGGAAAAGAGCAAAACTTGACTGTGACTCTGGAGAGCATCATGTCCTCTAGCATGGAGTCGGACACAACTTTCAGCTCTGAGGATGAAGATGAGGAAGACTGCTACTCTGCCTCTACAACTTCCAGCAGTCTTCCATCCCCTGAGATCTTTAGAAGGGAGAGTAATGGTGTGTGTCAATTTTTGATTATCCACATGTAACCTTACATACCAGAAGGTAAGGTTATTCTGTTCTAGTTTTTAATCTCTATTCTCTTCACTCCTCTCCTCAGTGGAAACATTGACTTTCCCCATCAAGGAGGAGCTGCTGGATCTCCATCTTCACATCAAAAACTCCACATTGTTGGATGTGAGCCATGCTCAGAGCATCCACATGCATCAGCCCCCCAACCTCTCTAACATCACTGGTAAATCCCACACACAGCAGAGAGAGTGTTTTATTTGGCTAGTGCACTGATTCTTTCAGATAATTAGACCTCCGCTAATTAGGTCTGCATAACATGGACAAAATCAAATATCACAATATATTTGACAACATACCTTGATATCAATGCTGCAATGATATTCTAGGGTTGACTACTGGTGCTTTCATAAAATATTTTTGATAAATAATCATCTGTAGTGTGGATATATTGACTAAGTGTGTAAAGGCAAATTATTGAACAGCTAGAACAGTCTGTGAAGTTCAGAAAATCACATAACTTTACTGTAATGCAGCCTTTAAAACCAGAAAAAGACAGCACTTACATTATAACAATATCCATAACCTAAGACAATATCTAGTCTCACATCACCATATCGATATAAAATGTGAATATATTGCCCCTTCAGCCAATAACTAATTGAAGTGTTAAAATGATTTCAAGGTTTTAATTTCTGTAGTAACTTAAGGTATGATCTTGGTAGTCTGATGGGATTCAAATTTTAAACTCATGAATATTAAGCATTAGTATGTAGCCTAATTTAAACAGCCTGCAGTCGTCTGATAAGAACTAAACCTTTGTCTGCAGATTCCTCTACCAGTATCCCTGAGACGAACTGTGACATCAAGTAAGTTTGTCAGTTTCTTCTTGGCAAAGTCACTTAACATGCACCATTTAGTGGAGTCGATTCCCAGTCTGTCTTCAGTGCTCAGATGGAATCAAACCACTAACACAGAAAGATTTACTAACCAGCATTTACTGTTTATGACCAAACTTGTTCAATCACTGTCTTTTCTCTTTGAAGCAAAAACAGAGTACCTGAAGCTGAGAACAAAATGTATACAGACTCATTTAAATCAGGTAAAGAATCACAGAGTGAGACATGTATCTTAATCGGATTGCACAATGACCAAATGCTCCAAATAATAACGTAATATAATGATTTTGTTTTTCATTCTGCAGAGACGGCCTTCAAGTGGAAAACCCCATCCAAAGTAAGAAACCCTGGTTATCTACTCCATCCAAAATATGATGTACACCATTTAATTAAAATAATCAAAGTAAGAGGGACGATGTTCATTGTCAATTATAATTTTGCTCCCTCAGCTCACCAACAGAAAGCCAACTGTGTACAAAAAGAAGGTGTGGTTCAAAAGCCCCATCATTGCTGAGACCTTTAAAGCAAAACTCACCCCAGCCACCAAATTAACCATTCACAGCTCCAGTGAGCCGGCCAAAACATCCAGCCCGACTGAGCACATGAAGCCAGACACAGGCACACCCAGAATGGGTGAGCTCAATTCTAAGGAAGAGGAATTACAACAAATGGTGACGCTGAAAAGGCCTGTAAAGAATAGCCCGGGGGAAGCCAAGTTCTTTGACTTTATCAATGAAAGTGACAGGGATGCGTTCTTTAAGGGGATGAAGGACAGGTGTGTCAAACTTAAAAGTGCTCCTTTGTTTCCTCTCATAGCTCCTGGGTACACAGATTAGCCTGCAGGGGCAAAGATCTGGGCTTTCTCCCGTAATCAAAGAGATTTGTATGTAAAATATCCTGTAAAAGATTAATCTGAGTACTTCAAAACAAGATGGCACGACTCAGAAGTGTGTGAGGCTAAATGTTGAAATGAAATGTGATGCACTTAAAAATATACAGGGAATTCAAAGAGATGCCACACACTGACAGATGTATAGACTGATGGTGCAGACATAGTGTAAGTGACCCTTCAACCTCCATTGCATCTTAGCCTTTATTTTTATCACAAAGCATACTGTATTAAACTGTTGCTCAAGTACATCTGGCTACAAAAATGCACTTTTTAATGTGTTATTTCAACACACTGTAAGCAGTGAAACCAGGACCTGATGTCCTTCTTAAATGTTGCATGTCTACATGCTGTCCAACAAGTGTGTGGTGCAAAATGGCCACTAGATGTCAGAGCTGTATCGTCTTACATAGCCATCTTTTCTCTTCTAACAATAATTGTTTTTCTTTTTGTTTGTGGAATATATATGTTGTGTGTGTTTCTCTGTATTTGTATTTACTTTCAGTATATGTGTCAATGCCATACGCCCCTAATCTAAGTGTTTAATGTAAGCTAAAAGTTAAAATGTAAGTTTGTTTTACTTTGCTGTTTTCTGTATGTGTGAGTAAAATGTATTTCTACAAAAAAAGTCAATGTGCAAAATAAATGAATGTACAGTAGGTTTCATAGCTTAAATAAATCATTATTTCTGGATACTACTGTGTGTTTGTTTTGCACAATTCTTGCGTCTGCACTTAACTCACATCTCGTGCGGGTGTTTTAAGGATCTTCGGCCGTGTGTTTTAATCATCCCAGCAGACGCACTTCTATGATTTCTGTGCATAAATTACATGCTGTCACGATTCCCGACAAAACATCAACACAGCGAATCCACTGACCACGTGGTACCGGGCCAAAAATATCAGCCAATCAGATAATTTGTAGTAGCAGCAGGGCCCGGTGAGCCAATCAGAAAAATGTAGTGGGTTACCAAGCAGCTCCCGTGACTAATGCCTGTCATATGACTGTGACACCCATGGAGACAGTTACAAGGAACAAGATTTGCTCTCGGATTTGAAAAGAAAAAGAGACCTTCTGTACCGAATTTAATTTGGTACAAAATGCCTCCGACTCTCTTCCAGAAACTTTTCAACAAGAGAAATGCGTTTTCTTCGCCGCCCCCGAGATGTAGCAAAGAGGACCCCGCTTTCAGGTAGCTATTTTGTTTGTTTGTGTGTGTGTGTGTACGCTGTGTGTCTGGTTTGTGTGTGTAAGATTGTACATTAACGTTATTTACGACTTTCGCTCCGCTGTCTGGGAGCATGACAGAGTTGTTGACGTGGTGAATATTCTGGACTCGCAGCCACTTCACGAATTAATGCCGTGTAGTTTTGTGAATGTGGAATGGTTGGAGCAAAGTGTGGGGACAGTCAACGGTTGTGCCTGTTGTTGGTGAGGTTAGCTAACATGCTAATGCTAGCTACCAGACGCTAGCGGGGGTGCTGCACGCCGCTTTGTCTCCTGTCGGGACTCGACTTGCCTCACTGGCTAGCACTTTTTCCGCCTTTACACAATTATTACAGCTCCTTTGCTGTAATTAATAAAGTGTTAATAAGTTAATTATAACGGCGTCCTCTCTTCCTGAAGCGTGGTTTATCGCTATCGTCGTTTAGAAGTTGCAATGTCCTCCTTTCCCCTTTGTGTCCCCAGTGTCCCCCCTTTGTGTTTCTTTGCAGTTAAGCCTGCGTGGTATTAAGACAAGAAGGAGGCAGCCGAGGCAGTACAGTCATGCTCTTTTGTCGCTTATCGTGAGCTATACCCCTGATAACTTGGAACAAAGTACAGCTGGCTTGTCTCTCAGTCCTGCGACGGTACTGTACTCATCGTCAGTGCCGTCAGACAGCAGAGGAGGACACAGTGTGCTCTGTGTTGGAGCACATGTGATCATCTCAGTCGGTCATTGATGACAGACAGATCCACTGCAAACCGGGCTGCAGCCTTTATAAACATACTATAGTGTAAGGATGAAGAATGTTGAATAAAATCTGCAATCAGTTGTGTTCAAAGCGACCAATATGGTGTATCGCTTTACGGAAATATACAAGTCACATGTCTGATTTACACCGGTGATGCCCAGCTCAAACGAAAGATACTAAATCCTGATATAGTACGAAACACTGCACTGGTGTAAACTAGACAAATACCTCCATATTTCTCCTTAATGCCAGTGATGCTTAGAACAAATGCAAGATAATATATTCATATTTTTGTACTTACCACTGCACTAGTTGCAGTCTACATCTACAAAGCAGATGAGTGGGAATTGCTTCAATTTCAAATGCAGAAGACAGAACACCATCGTTGATTTCTAGCCTTAAACCCCTCATGTTATGCCTGCTTTAATGAAATGCACGATTATTGTTGCATTAGGCATGTTGTAAAGCAGCCATTGTCCAGCACTGATAAACTTACCACGTTATTGTGCATCCTTAGCAGATGGCACTGCTGGTTTTAAAATATATTGCATCTAGTGGAAGAATAATTGCCCATAATTGTTTTTTAGTTCATAATGGCAGTCTGTGCAGGTGAAGTGTGACATGTAATGTCACTATAAGCAGCACAAATACTTGGTATTGCAATGTCCTAAAGCTGAATTCAATCTGACTGCAGTAACGCATCATTGAGCTGGCGAGTAGGATACTCTATACTCCCTGAGTTGATTTGCAGTTTCCCCGTGTATGTTCCTACACACATTCTGGGTCAGGGTCAAGTCTGTCACCAAGGGGAAAGTGCCCTTTTTAAGTTTTAAATACACTTGCATTGGAAAATGTTGCTCCGGGCCCGTCACCTGTGGTGGATATATTTACCAAAGGACCTGAAAGCTCACCTCCTCGTGGTGCTACTTGCACTTTGGCCCACGTTTGTTCCAGTGCACGTTCCATGGTCATAAAGGTGCCCTGCGCCCACTGATATAAATGCTGTGTGTGTGTGGTTGGCTGGTTGGTTTCAATCCTAGAGCAAAGAGGCAGGCAGCAGGCATTTCTGTTAACTCAGTGGTCAGCTGTGCTCTTCATACTTCTGGCATGAGCTCCCCATTCATCAGGGATGAATTGCTCGGGGGAGGGCAGAACTGTGTGAAGACAAAGGCAAGGAGAAGGAGAGATGGATGGTGAGGACACTTGGCTGGTAGCAGGAAAAGGCTAGAAAACATAGTTGAAGAGATGAGGGATTGTGGGGAATGAGAGGGTTTGTTTTAAAAGTGTATGTGTATGATAGACTGTGTAAAAAGATGGGAAAGGTTGAGTACATCCAGGTCGAAGAAAAGAATAGAAGATGGGAGATGAGAATATAATAGAAAGCAGAGAGGAGAGTTTGGATGGTCAGGAATTTAGCAGGCAAAGTTTGACGATGGACAGATGAGAGGAAAGGATGAGGTAAGACGTGGACTGTGGTGATGAATGACGTTCACAGTACTCATGAATGTTTTAAAAACTGCAGCTTGTATTTATTTGCACTCAGGACTGCTTCTGTAAGAGAGCAGATATTATGAATTGAGCTGGCTGGGTATGGTGTTACAAACCATCTCAAGTAAGACTTTGAAAACACTCACGTCAACACCTCTGGCTCTCCCAGAATAATGCTGTCCCTGATGAAAATGATAAAACAAGTAGAGCTCCCATATGTTTCACCTCAACAAAAACCTTCCACAGCCAAATACTTACATGAGCCTTCACTTGTCACTAAGAGGTCAGAGAGTGTGTGTGTTCAGGATGATGAAATGATAAACTTCAAATTAGGAAATCAGGAAACCACTAATTTGTACAGCATACTTTGTAATACTTTGCAGCCCCTGAGCTGTGAGAGTTGCATATATTTCTTGGGTGCATTTTGTATTACTTTTAGTGTATTTTGCTATCTAAAATTGATGGATCATTTATTTTACATCAAAATAACAACAACCCAAAAAGCCCAACAAGTGTTGTGCACCATAAAACCATCAGAGATCTAACTGGGTTCTATGCTAGCAAAAGCCTCACATGTGATGAATAAAAAAAAGTTTTGCTGTTGTGCAACCCTGTTGACCTGCATAATGCATCACCAAAGCTCTGCCACAGCACAGTACTGTGCCCTCCAGAATACCACAGAGGGCAGCAGGTTGGCTGACCCTCGGAGGAAAGCCTAAAAAGCCTCTCCGGTTTCCCTGGCTGCAGCACCTGACCAGGGACAGCATACTGTACATTACACTGAGAGCTCCTGGCTCATCCTGTAGCCAGTCAGAGGCTTGACCGCCAGCCAATAGCTTTGTCCTCCCCACCCACAGCCAGACTGCTTTTCCTGGCTGCCCCCTGCCACTGCTGCCTGCTGAGGAAACTTCCCTCTTGACCTGCGCCATACAACTCAATATAGCTGTGTTTGTGCTGAGATACGAGGGTGTGTGTGTGTGTCAGCAAGAGAGAGGATGGGATGGGTGTGGGCCGATGTTTTTTTGTTTTCACACACCATTTTATAAAACCTCAAAACCCAAATCAGATGAGTTTAAAAAGGGCTAAAGTGAAGTATTTCTTTTGTGATTTTATACAAATGAGATGATAGTGATTGACTAAGCATTGTGCTGTTAGGATGAACATTTTACTTTGCAGTTTTATGTATAGCTTGTTAGACCCATATCACAGTCTTTCTAAATGAGAAACTGTGAAAACATGTTATTTCATAAGCCAGCCAATAGATTTTACCTGACTCACATTGCAATTTGGAGTTGGTATGAAATGTGTATTACTCTGGAAAAAAAGCTAAAACCTTGTGGTGAATTTAAAATATGGATTAGATTCTACTAGATTATATTTGAGAGAGAAAAGTGATACACCACATCAGGTTTATTCATAGTGATGCTTTTTCCTTGACAGATTACAGGAAAAGTAGTGTTTCAGGTTCCTGATTGGCGTGGTGTCCGTCCTCCACTGCGTGCTTTCATAACCGAGGGTGTCATGTGAGGCTTTCATCAATCTCAGGCTGTCATGTTTGTGGGACGATCACATGGCTGCGTTCTCAGTCACTGGCATAAAGAGTTGGATAAGAGCAGATAGGCGTGTGTGTGTGTCTGCTTGTCTCACACTCAGTACTTTTATGACTTGTGCATACTCAAAGCATGTTAGTGTCATGGATTCATATATATGCTGTATATTATAGCTCTGCATTCCAAGGCTGCTCTCTTCTGTGTGTGCTTGTGTGCATGTGTGTGAATGCTACAAGCCTGCCAGGGTTCTGTAAAGACAGCGGCTGTCATCAGGTTCCTATCAGGGCTATTTTAAGTGGCCACACTCTGGCTTCTCAGAACTGCAGGGTCATGGTAAAGATATAGTTTTATGTAAAAGCTGCACACACATCACACACACACAGTAGCATGCTGGTGAGTGCTTGTATGTCAGCTTAACATGTAGTTAGGCCTGCTTGTCCTCTTAGTTGTGAGGACATCAGTTCAAGCACTGCCTATGTTACACACTCTGCAGGTTATTGTGCTGCTCTGGGTTTATAGTTGGTTGTTGTAGATTATTGTCTGGCTGTTGGCCATTCTAGATTGTAGTAAACTGGCATATGATATGATGACCAATCAACACATGACAAACAGAGAACTTGCCAAGTAAATTGAATGTTAAGTCATTATTTTTTTGACGCATTTCTGCAGCTTCAACACTTTCCAGTATCACAATAATCATCACATGTTTGTTGCTGATCAGTTTCCAGTTTCACAGCTAATGCTGATACATGATACTGTGGGCAGCAGGACCTCACAAACGGCGCAAAGATAAAGTGGAATGCATACTACTGACTGCCGACTGTGTTGCTCTACAAATGATGTTAACTATTATGCAGTTTACGTACATTCCACATCCAGTCTCCTTCATTGTGACTCTGCTGTTTGTCTGGAGTTGGGTACACTGCATACTCTAATTAGTCCACGTTATACAGTACTTTGGTTCCTAACACATTTGTTATTTAGCTAGTATTAATGTTCACACAAATAGATGCAGGTATGGTGTACCTTTTTTAAATTTCAACAGGAGAAATGACTTCATTGGATGGTTTATATAGCTGTTGTACAGTGGCATTGATTTTCTGCTTTTCATGCTGATTTATTGATTAAGTTAATGAAGCAATTGAGCTGCTTACTGAATGCCCAAAAAGCAATTTGAACTCTTCAGTGTAGAGATCTTT